TGGTTCCCTGAGCACCCTACTGTCTATTTCCTCAGACCCTGATGCCTTAAACTGATTCAAAAAATCACTCAAGTCTTCTTTAGTTCATTCCTTATCTTGATCTCTATCCCTTCTCCCTCTTCGTTTACATTCACTTTCCAAGCAGTCTATTCAAAATTTCCCTTCTTGGTTAAGACAAGAGAAGGTTGGCCCTGAACAGCTCAGCCTTCCTCCTGTCTTTTTAATCTTCCATTAATAATTCACCTTCACTTTAAACAGCAGACCTACAGGTTCTTTTATCTTTCTTTTCAAAGTGATGTGCTTGGAAAACCACCACATCTTGCTTTTAACATCCCTTGCCAGCTATAACTCATGTTTTATGCTGGGGATTTGTATCTTGGGTCAGTGGCAGCTGCCCCCTCCATTGCCTTCTTTGTCTTTCTCTCATTTTTTTGATTAATAGAGAACTGCTGGCTCAGCCACGTTGGTCCCTTGCCTCTGACCTGTCTTTCCACTGCAATAGTACCTCTGGCATTATGTGCGCCCTTCAGAAATGACCAGGCCTCCAGCATCACTTTTTCCTCCAATTCATCAATCCATGTGATCTTTTCTAGTGCTACTGTGATGGTCATGGTCTTCCCTTTGCGCTTCACCTGCCTTGCTTTTCTTAGGGTCCTGAACTTGAAGACAGGGCATCTGCATTGGGAGGTAAAACTGTGACCATCACAGCAACCTTTTCCCCACAGGACCCAGAACCCCAGACAGCTACAGCCCAGCTGGGACTTGACACTACCATCTCTGAGTCCAAAAACCTGTGCTTTGGCAATTATATGACTGGGGTCAGTAAAGAAAACATGGCTGCACACAGCAGGTCTTGTATCTACAGTGTCTTCCTTGGAAGGCAAATGTTCCACTACTATTCAAGCAGCTTTTCTTGTACTAAATGGTTTCCTCCAGCAGCAAGGACTGGAACGCAGGCCTGTCTCCCTTCTCGGGAGAGAATCCTCCTTCTTTGACTACAGAATAGTTCTCCATCATGTGTGTTCTTCTTCTCCGAATAAATCTTGAACTCTTTGTTGCCCAGGAGGGCTGTGTGAAATTTTGCTGGCTGTTTTGTTTTGACAGTGTTTTGACCAAGTTCGAGGTTGAAACAGGAAAATCGAAATGAAACAAAAGCCATTGAAATAGCCTCGAAACAAAACGAGGCTGATCCAAACATTTTGAGAGTCGAAACGTTTTGACCATAGGCTGGGGATAGGAGGTCAGTCCAGCTGGGGTGACTTTGCACGTCCAGCGCAAGATCTGGTAGGGAGCAGCAACTGTCCCCTGCACTAAATCATGCCAGGGGTGGGAGGCAGCCCAGCTAGGCTGCTCCCAGTTCTCCATGCTAGATCGCAACGGGGGCTGGAGGCACCCCAGCTAGGTTTCTTCCCAGTCCCTCATCCTAGATTGCACCAGGGGCTAGAGGGAACTCAGCTGCATGGGGGTGGGGAAGCAGCTCATCTGGGCTGCATGCAACCCCAGCCATGATCTAGTGCGGGGGACTGGGAAGTAGCCCAGTTGGGCTGCCTCCAGGCCCCAGTGTGATCTAGCATGGGGGATGGGAAGCAGCCCAGGTGAGCTGCATTGCCACCCCCTACCAGATCTTGTGATGGGCATGGGGATTCACCCCAGCTAGACTGACTTCCCATCCCCAACCTATGGTTGAAATGTTTTGACTCTAAATGTTTGGACCAGCCTCGTTTTGTTTCAAGGCTATTTTGATGGCCTTTGTTGTGTTTCAATTTTGGTGTTTCAACCTTGAAATAAGTCGAAACAGTCTCAAAACCAAATGGCAACCAATATTTTGCACAGCCCTAACGTGTAGTAGGTTTACCTTTTCAGGGCTTGGGTTGAGCCCCAGGATCGCAGGTTTGCTGTTTGATTGGTGGAGCCCACCCACCAATATGGAGGCAGCACAAGTGAAGCAATGCCCTGCCCTTTTCTGAAGGGAGGGGGAAGGAACAGCTGGACCTGAATCGGAACTGCACCACCCAGGTCTGGGGAACTTCAGGGTCTGCTGTTTGCTGGTGGAGCCCCTAAAGAGTATATAAGGGGACCAGACTTGGCAGGCTGGGGACAGAGGGGAGGGATGGTGAGGAGAGAGGAGCTCTAGAGATGGCTGTCCTCAGGATCCCACTTGAGCTTCAGCAGTGTGCCAATCGGTGCAGGGGGATCAGGCTTTAGGAGCTGCTCAAGATGGCTTGAGCCTGCAAACCAGGCAAGGGGCTGGGCAGTCTGTGTGCAGACCGGCTCACGGAGAGCTGGCCCTCGGAGCAGCTCGATGCTGCTCCGGCCCCACATGGTGTGCAGATTGGCACACGGAGAGCTGGCCCTGGGAGCAGGTCATGGCTAGCTCAGGACTCACTCGGTGCGCAGGTCGGAGCATGGAGAACCACCTTGGAAGCAGCTTGCAGTTGCTCACATTAGCCCCAGCCCTCGGCCAAGTGACCAGAGCCCTGCAGTGCAGCTCCACCTTTAACTAAAAGAGCCCCTGTGCGCAGAGCAGGGCCCGGGAAAGGGGAGAAGCCCCAGTGTGAGACCGGGGAGTCAGAGCCTGCAAGGGCTTGGCTCCCACGAGAGAGAGAGAGAGTGATCCCCGGTGCCCAGTGCAGGGTGCCAGGTCGTTGAGGAGAGCCAAAGGTATCGCTGGGGAGAGGCCCTTGTGGGATCAGCCACCAGGGGACGAGCCTCTGCTTCTCCAGAGAGAAAGCGTGAGTGACTGGGGAAGTTACAGGAGAGGCTGGCATGGGTGAGGAGGGTCTGCTACGTCCGCCCTCCATTGCAGGTGGGGCACGTCCACGCCCCAGGGCCCTAAAGGGGAGGGGCTTCAGGGAAGCCCCTCAGGGAGGTGCACACAGTGAATTGTGGAATATTATATATAGTATTATGTATTAAGCCTTGTAAATATACTAGGTTTTATATTAACTGTCTGTATCTATTCTTGTAATAAATTGTACATAGTTAAATACTTGGTCTTGGCCCAGATCTTTCGAGAGGGAAGGAAGCCACTCTAGTAGCTGACCCCTTCCTCAGCTCCCTGCCTGACCACCACCACTGTCATCGGAGGACAGGGCACACCCCCCTAGGTGTACCCGGGCTACAACAGTGTAATGAGCACAGAGGACGAAAAAACTATGAGAAGGGACAGGTGCCAGGGAAGGAAGGGACAAAAATGACAGGAAAGGGACACAGTGCATGAAATAATTTTATTCACTGGTGAAAAGATTTGACTTACATCTCCCACTCCTGTCCTTCAGTATTATAAAGCAGCAGAACATGTAATATCATCCATATTTCCAACTTTATTTTGTATAACTAATAATGCCCCAATCCAACAATCGCTATCACATGCATGATAACAGAGGACACTCCTCACACTAGTTAAGTGCAGTCAGAATTACAGATGTAATGCGCATCCCCAATAAAAAAATAAAATATTTTAGCACGTAAGTGTAAGACAGTTTACAACAGGCAAAAACCAAAATCCAGCTGTCATGAAAGATGCCCCAGGTCCTTGTGTTCTAAATGAAACTCTTTCTGTCTTTTGGAAATGGAACTTTTTCAAAACAGTAACTGAAATTCTTTTTTGAAAATGTTTTATAGACCAAAAGGCTGGCTTTCACTTAACCAGCAGGTTTAATAACATTCGTCAACAAAGTTTTACAAAAAAGAATTGACAAAAGGCACAACTTTGGTGTATAAAAATCAGAAACTCAACAACTTCTCGGCAAGAGTTTAACAGTAAAAAAAAAATGCTTCATGTGATTTAAAAAATAAAGCTCTTGACTACATTTAACCAGTCCTCAATTAAAATTTCAAAAAGTATCTAAATGTTGTGGGAGCCTAATTTGAACTCTGTTGGCAGTGGAAGTATTGATGCTCTATGTTCAGGCCCCTTTGAAACGCTGGCTCTGTCCAGTCTATGAAGTGAAGGCAGTCGTTTCCCTGAGAATCCCCCCATGCAAGGAGCCTCCGCTGCTAGTGGAAGGGTCCTGCACCAGCACGGGGCAATGTGTGCTTTAAGGCTGACCTCTCATCCCATTGGCCTTGGAGAGGCCAGTGCTAGTTACAGGTGCCCAAGCCCAACCTGAATCAGATCAACAAAAGCCCTGAAGAATGCCTAGTCACCCTGTATCTAGATGCGTCTGACAGGTCCACTTCCAAATGCACGAACCCACGTCCAGTCTTACTGTCAGAGCTGTTGGCTCAGCGGAAAGGTGCCAGCATTTGTTTCTGCAGTCCGCTCACTGACGGGTAAAGGTATGGATGGGAGGTACAACTATACATTACAAAAGTACATATTACAAAAATATATGAGTGGAAATCCATGATACCCCAAGTCCTGAAATGACTGAGAAGAAGCCTGTCTAATATGGAGAGCAGGCCGCCTTGGAGGCAGGCGATGGGGCTGCATTTGAGGCCGAGGGGATGTGGTCACGGGGCTCTGCAATGAGCCAACAGGACACTGCAGGATCAAAAATGCTGTGAACTGCTGCTCTAGTCCACATCCATCTTCTCATCTTCCAGTTCTCCCATCTCCTCTACCTCCATATCACTGCTCTCAGCTTCACTCTGGGCCTCTAGCTGCGTGGGAATACTGGCACCTGCACAAGCTGCTGCTCCATCCACACATTGGGCAGCTGCTTCCATTGGCCACTGGATGATGATCTGGCCAGCGAAGTGGGAACCATTGTTCAAGCCTGAAATCAACCCCCAGAGACGCACCCCCAGGTTAGTGTGGTAACTTTATACACGGTTGCTATCCAGCTTTAGTATATACATGTAGCGGGGTAGTTGGACAGAGCGTGCTGTTCAGCTGGAAAACCTGCTGGATGACTCTCTACTTTAGGGCTGACCCCTGCAGGGGTTGTGTATCCGCTCCGTCCTCCAAAGAGCCCCAAGCGGCGGGAAGCAGCCCCTCCCATGGCAAGACTCCAGGCAAGCAGCGGGAAGCAGCAGCAAAGTCTTGGCAGAGACAGGGCAGAGCCACAGTGGATGGCCCAAGGAAACTGGAGAGAGAGGAGAGAGGGAATATGCCAACGTAAGAGAAGAGTCCTCCCTGAATCAAGAATATTTCATCCATGCTTCAAAAGGCAGCAAGAAAGTACCCCATCTCTCTTCCCACCTTGTGCCTCTCCCCAAAGCCATGGGATGCTGGCAAAGGGGCTCATTCCTTAGTACTTACTCATTGTGATGAGCGGTGGGGAGAGTCCTTGCTCTCTGGGAACAGCTTCTGCCCCAGTCTGGGCAGCTGGATCTGAAGCAGAAGGAAGGAAGGAAATGGCTATGAATTGGTGCCCAGAGGGTAAAGATAGAGCAAACCTACTGTCACTGAATTGTAATATCATAGAAAGATGTACTAAGGGTTGAAGGGAGCTCAGGAGGTCATCTAGTTTAACCAAGGGCAGATGTGTATAACCTGCCATCTAACCAACTTGGGATCCTAGCTCCTTGTGCCATGTTGTAACCAGCAAAACCAAGAAAGGTGGGGGGGCGGGGAGAACAGGGGACACAAAACCTGGGAACCTGGGCCCAGCAAACACAGCCCCACACTTCACACCCTGCCCCGAGAGCCAGAGCTCCCCTTTCTGTACCCTGCCCTCACCCCAGCCCCTTTCCTCTTCCTTCCTAACTGAGCTGGTTGTACCATGTCTGTGTCTACACGGGAGAGTGTTAAGGGAGCTCTGCAGAGGGGAGAAACCTCCCCGAGACATCATCCCCGCTGCCCCCGAAAAACAACGCACTCAGAGAAGACGCTGGTTTAGAAACCCCCGGATCTTAGAGAAGAGTCTTCCCTCACGACTCCCGCGTGTCCCCGACTCCCGCAACCCGGCCGCACCGGCTCTGGTCACAGCCCGAGAGCCCCCTGCCCTGCCCTGCCCGGGCCGGAGCCCGCTTCACCTGCTGGGAGATGAGGAGCCCCCGCTGCTGCCGCTGGTGCTGCCGGGGAAGCAGATGCCGCGGGCTCCATGTGCGCTCCGTGGAGAAGCAGGCGGCGCCGGTACCTGCTAACCACGAGTGGAGGGGGAAACGGAGCCCGGGAGCCCTGCAAGGTCCTTTCAAGGTGTTGGTCTGCTGGAGATGCCCCCTCTCTAACTGTGATCAGAAGAAAATGGTGCAGTTGTATGCAGAAAAAAGAGCATGTCGCCTCCGCAATAATAAGTCATAGTGGTTTGGAAAGCCGCAGGGCTATCTCAGTAAAAACGGAAGTTATTTAAAAAGGCATCCTCTTTGCACCAGAAGGGTACAAAATTTGTGGAGGTTCCAGGAAAAAGAGTCAGGGACTAGTTTTCTCGGAGTGTGAGGAAGGGTGTGTGAACCGAAGTTTGAAGAAAAAAGACTTTTTCGAGGGGTGGGGTGGGGGGAGGATTTCTTAGTTGGTATCATCTCTGTGGGGTGGGGGGAAGGATTTCTTACTTGGTATCATCTCTGAACTAAGAGTTCTAGAGTTTTGCACTCATTTTTGTCTCACCCGAACACGGCTACCAAATACTAGGCTTGTGCGAATAGGGAACTAAGTATTCGATTCGGATTCAGCTGATTCGGATGCCAGAGATTTTAGCCGATTTTGGATTGAAGCTTCACTGGGGAACGACAAGAAAGCTGTCTACACCTCCCTGTCTGCCATCTGACACGGAATCCTGCCTTATCCGACAACAAAGAGCAGCTCACAAAGACACTCTCATGTACCCAGAGGACCAGACTTCCATCTTCAGCTTCTTCTGTGCAAAAATGAAGTTTATTTTCTACCTATGGGGACTTTTCCCTGAGCCCCGGAAGGGCATGCGAGCCCGAAAGCTTGCAGAAAAAAGATCCATATGAAAAAGTAATGATACATCAGATATTAACGGTGCCTCGAAGGTCATTAAAGTACATTTTAGATGCTAAACTCCATCCACCCCTTGTGCAAGCAGACCTTGTTCTGGCGGTTGTGTTGCAGAGGAGCTGCGCAAACCCGGTCCTGCGTCTCCCCGACTCCCGCAACCCTCCTGCAGCCTCTGCGCCTGCTCCCCGGCCGGCTCTGTCCCGGGTCACAGCCCGAGAGCCCCCTGCCCTGCCCTGCCCTGCCCTGGCCGGAGGCCGCTTCACCTGCTGGGAGATGAGAAGCCTCCGCTGCTGCTGCTGCTGCTGCTGTTGCTAGGGAGGCAAAGAACTCACATCCTCTATCCCCGAACGGAATCGATTTATAGAAGCTTATCCGGCACTTCCTAACTCACTGCGTTGACCACAAACGAGAAAAAAAAAAAAAGCTTTTCATAAACTGCATTCTCCAGCAACAGCGACGCTGAATCAAACTTTTCTTACGGGTACAGTCAGAAAAGCCAGGGATAACTAACTGCGAAGTCGACCGAAGTCCCAAGATAAGAGCTTTCTAGTGCCGAAATGTGGAGTTCGGCACAGGAAACGCTAAAGGAAAATCTGCAGTTCCTGGCTTCACTCCTTACTGGAGTGCCACGGGCACCAATGTCACCTTCCTTCACCGTTCCCCTCTCTTTCGTATGAGTTTTTAGGACGGCAACATTCATACATTAATATCGAAAGTTGATAACCTTTACGTTGCTTCACAACGTGCTGCAGCGTCTGAAAAATTGCACTAGAGTTACTGACACCCGAGTATTCAGGACAAAACCACGCATAGGAAAAATGAATGCTACGCCAGATATTAACGCTCCCTAGAATGTCATTAAAATGCATGTTAGATCATTTCGATGCTAAACTCCATCCATCCCTTGTGCAAGCAGACCTTGCTCTGGAGTTTGTGTTGCAGAGAAGCTGCAAAAAAAGGTGGGGAATGGGTGGATAACATGTCAAGGCTATGAGGTCCCAGGGCAACAGCTAAACACTAGAAACACTCATATGAGGTAGAAAGCCTGCTGGCTGCAGCAGGTAAATAAGTGTTTAAGGGAGCCCAAGAAAGGGCTTCTTAGTGACAAGACTCCTGAAACTTCTTCTACGGGGGGCAGGTGTGGGGAACTCGTGACTTTCTGATCAAGGAAAAGAACTAAACCGTGTTCAAGGCGGAGGGGGTGGGGGAGAAACAGGTGGTTTCCTGGGTGCCCTTGAGCTCTGGTGATTAACTCTTAAAAATGGTAACAATATTTCAATTTTTAAAATCTATTTCATAAAAAAGGAGAATATTTGTGAAGAATTCCTGAGAAACTCGTCCACGTGTTCACAGAATCACAGAAAATGAGGGTTGCAAGGGACGTCAGGAGGTCACATCTAGTCCAACCCCCTGCTCAGTACAGGACCAGCCCCACCTAGATCACCCCAGACAGGGCTTTGTGCCCTCGGATCTTAAACACCTCCAAGGAGGGAGCTTCCAACACCTGTCTGGGGAGCCTGTTCCAGGGCTTGGCTACCCTCCTAGTGGGAAAGTTTTTTCCCAATATCTAACCTAAACCTCCTTTGCTACAGCTTGAGACGGTTGCTCCTTGTCCTGTCATCACTGCCACCGCGGAGAACAGTCCAGCTCCGTCCTCTGGGGAACCACCCTTTAGCGAGTAGGAGGTTACTCTTCAATTCCCCTCCCTCCCCCGTCTTTTCTTCTGCAGACTAAACAAGCCCAGTCCCCTCAGCCCCTCCTCAGAAGTGAGGTCCCCGGGGCGAAGGGGAGGGGGTGCACCCCGCGCGCCTGGCGGTGCAAAAATGCCACCGCGGAGAACAGTCCAGCTCCGTCCTCTGGGGAACCACCCTTTAGCGAGTAGGAGGTTACTCTTCAATTCCCCTCCCTCCCCCGTCTTTTCTTCTGCAGACTAAACAAGCCCAGTCCCCTCAGCCCCTCCTCAGAAGTGAGGTCCCCGGGGCGAAGGGGAGGGGGTGCACCCCGCGCGCCTGGCGGTGCAAAAAGCCGCCGCGGGCGGTCCCTGATTGCCCCTGGGAGCCACCGACACTGCCGGCGGTGCCTGCGGGGGGGCGCCGGCC